ATCAGGGAATTTTTTTTAGCTGGGGTGCCTAGGACTTGGGACATGCCTTCTAAATTGGATCCGCAGAATACCAGAATTAAAGTAGGAAACATTTCTACATACAATGGTGATCGAGTTCGGAACTCTGTTCCACAAATGGCACTTGTTCCATTGATTAATTGTAAATTTTAAATCTGATCTTGATGGATTTTTGTCATTTCTAGAACTGACTATTCAGGTGCATTCCAGGCTGGTTTCCCATTTTCCATCCTATATTCATTTGCAGTTGTTGAAACTTTGTTGCCCAATATTTACTCGCTCCCATCTCATTCTCCCATCACTCCTGAACTGCATTGACTCTGAGGCTGATAATGCCTCACTTTTAAAATTCACATCCCTGTTTCAAACCTGCTGTGGCCTAGATCCTCCATATTTCTATGCCCTTCTCCAGCAATACAAGTTTTTAGTGTGCTCTTACCATTCTAGCTTCTTGCACTCCCCCGTTTTAACTAATTTACTGTTGCCATGCCTGTAGCTGTCTAAGAAGCCTGGAATTCTTTCCTTGACCATTCTGCGTCTCCACCTCCCTCTTCTTTTAAGGAGCATCTTAAAAAAGCAACCTCCTAACAGCAGCTGCTTTCTGAAAAAGTCGCAACAAAGATTATAATCTGAAATTATTAAACTCAGTATCAAGAGGTGGTTTTCCTCTAGCTCCCCATGAGTTTCACCTGAACACCGTAAAAAGAGATACAAGTGGGAGTGCAGGAAGTGCAGAATTGAAATGGCAGGTATCTGGAAGCTCATGATCACCCTTAATCACATGTTCTGAAAAGTGTTTGGTCTCTCTGCTGGACAGGAGGCTGCACTGTGAGCAGCATAGTCAATATATTAAATTGAAAGAGGTACAGGTCAATCAACTTTTAATTTCAGATTTCTAGCAGACAATATTTTTTATCTGCTTGAAATACTTCTGGGGAGAGCTAATTTTGAATTTGGCAAGAATTAAACGCATAATACTGGCATAAAAAGGCAGATCTTTAAATTATACATTTGTGTTTTAATGCATCTTGGTGAATAGTTTAATACTTGCAGCTAACTGGGACTTGCTTCAAATTGACAGGGGAAAGTAATTAAAGGATTTTTGTCTCAACTGTAAGTGTGTGGTGAGACTCTGAAATGCCTTCATATCAACAGGATTTGCTTGTGTTGTTTCTAGTGCCTTAGATTCAAATGATTAAATCTGATTAAAAGAGACACTTTTTAGCTAGCAATCTGAATCTATCATATCATATTCCTTTCATGATGAGAGCAACAAGCCAAAGAGTGCAAGCAACACAGCATGAGGGCAACTTTTTGCACTTCTGTGGGCATTCTTGCTTCCTTGTTCCAAGAAAATCTGAGAAGTTGCGAGCTCTTGAGTAAATTGCTTTGTGGTAGCTGTAGAATAAAGCAGCCAGGGTGTTCATTATTTCCAGCGGCAGCTGCTAAGGTCAAGGAATTGTTGCCTTCTGTTGCTCATGACTACTTTGGAAGCAATCTTATTAGTTAGTCTGTATGGTTGTTGGGACTGCTAAAGGGAATCAAAATCAGACATCCAAACCTTTTGATGCTTAACATTGCCCATAAAATTACAAGAAGAGCTATGCGAGGGGCAGTCTGAGAATTGTAATAAAGTGTGCTATGCTAAAAGGACAGCTACCAGGGTACCAAAGCAGCAATGTATGTCAAATTAACTCCATAAGACAGAGTGAGACTGGTGCAAGTGAAGTTGAATGAACTTTTTGCATTGGTTTGATTTTGATTTTAAAAATAATGTGGATGTGCATATGAAATTTTAAAATGCACTGACCGAGGTCATGTTTTGTTCCCTCTACTTAACATTGGAAAGTGTTAATGTAAATATTTCGTAACAGGCAGCTTGAAATTGAGTACCAAAGAAGAATCATGGTGACGCCTGCGTAATAAGTGTGGTTGTCTGTTTGAGGAAGATATGGTCATGTGGATCAATTCAGGATATGTTGTGAATTAATTAACACTGGAACACATTTTCCTTATTCACTGGGAAGGATAATGCTGGTGTCTTAAGAAAGTTGGCATGTAGTCATCAAATGCTGGTTCTATGCCTTTTTTTTGGTGGGGGGGCATTCAAGAGCAGCATGTATGTGGGTAGTTTGTAATTACAGTGAGGGATCATTGATGCCTTTCATGCCGCTTTGTTTTCCTTGTGCTGTTGATGTAGTTACAGTATCTCATCCTGAATGGGAAAAGAAAGGATATCATCAGTCTTTCTTGTCTGTAAACTGATTTAATGGTAGCTGAGCAAAATGTGACATTAGTCTCAAAAAGCACAAGGGAATCTTTCAGCACTTTGCAGCACTTGGCTTAAAAAATCTGTGATGGTGGTAGTGGGCCTTCATGACTTAAAGTAGCTGAAAGTGTAAACCAAATGTTTGATTTGTACATATCAAGTGATAGTCTATTAATCCTACAGTCTGATTAAAATGGATAGCTGCTTTGTTTACCTTGAATAGCATTTGTCATATCTTGGCGTTGTGCTCTCTTAATTTATGATCTTCCTGCGCATTTTTGTTCAAATTTTCAGTCTATGGTGGCATGACCTCTCTCTTCTTAACTTCCTTGCACTGTTTCAAAGAACTTTCTTCTGTGGAAGTATCCTGAACATCGCCAGTGTTATTGGTACTATTGTTCATGTTTTGGACGCTTCGACCAGTTTATATATTAAAAACTCTTTACCGAAGTGCTCTTGTCAGTGAGGTGCACAAAGGTACACAATTTGGTTTGTGGTTCAACTTTATTTTTATTAACAAAATATTCCTTATTAAAAACACCATGTGAGCAGTTCCCAAATTCCCATGATATTTACTTATTATCCAGCTCTATTTATCTGAGAAAGGATATTAACTATAACGATCCATGTGTTTGAGCTGGGCCATTAGAATATCTTTACTCCCTGACATAGGGCTGACTCTCTTCCATGAAGATGGGTCTGTTGGATCCGGGAGGATGTTCTCGCTCTCGTGCTCACTTGCTCTTGCACTTGCCCTCTCTCTTCCCCTCTCCTTGCGCTGTTCCCCCCCCTCCACCTCCAATGGGCCAGACGATGTCTTCGATGAAGGGGTAGGTTCCGGGAATCTGTATTTATTGCCTTCACTCCGGACCTTGCTGAATGTTCTGTGGCCATTGTCCAATGGGGCCGTGAGCAGGGTTCAAAGCATCCATTGGGGTTGTGCCAACACCCTTCACTGTTGCCATATAAAGTGCATTTCCTTAGGCACTGACTGGAAGTCAGGACATCAGAACTCCAATATGCAATTCTTGGGCTGGTTGTAATCTTTGTGACAGTGGCTCAGTGGTTAGCACTGCTGCCTCCCAGTACCAGGGACCCGGGTTTGATTCCACCCTTGGGCGACTGTCTGTGTGGAGTTTGCACATTCTCCCCGTGTCTGCGTGGGTTTCCTCTGGGTGCTCCGGTTTGCTCCCACAGTCCAAAGATGTGCAGGATAGGTAGATTGGCCATGCTAAATTGCCCATAATGTTCAGGGATGTGTCGATAAGGTGGGTTACAGGGGGATGGGTCTGGGTGGGATGCTCTGAGGTTCGGTGTGGACTTGTTGGGCCGAAGGGCCTGTTTCCACGCTGTAGGGATTCTATGATTCTTTGACCTTGGTTTCCACTGTTCTCTGTAGCCGATAGCTGCTGCTGCTGTATAATTTAGTTTGGCTAATTTTCTGTCAGGCCTGATTTCTCTGTCTATGGGTCAATTTAGAATGCCCAATTTTTGGGCCTGTGATCTTATGGTCTTAAGATATAGGAGCAGAGTTAGGTCATTCTCTCCTCACATTGCAACCCCTTCCTCCCCTGGATCATTCTTGAATACCTCCTCCAATGCCAGGACATCCTTCCTCAGATGCAACTTAACGCTATATGCTCTTATTTTATTTAGCAGCATCCTGTGCAGTACCTTGACAAAGGCCAAAATAGATCATGTCCACTGATTCTCCTTTTTCTAACTTGCTTGTTACCTTCTTGAAGAGTTGGAACAGATTTGTCAGGCATGACTTCCCTTTGACAAAGCCATGATGACTCTGCCCTATTACAGTGTGCACTTTCAAATACTTCACAATCTCATCCTTAATAACAGACTTTCAAATCTTACCAATGACTGAGATCAAACTAACTGGCCTATAATTTCCTGTCTTCTGCCTCCCTCCCTCTTAACCAGGAGGGTTACATTAGCCATTTTCCAGTCCTCTGGCACCATCCCTGAGCTAGTGGTTCCTGAATAATCACCACCCATGCCTCTACAATCTCCTCAGCTATCTCCTTCAGAACTTTGCGGTGCAGTCTATCAGGTCCAAGTGATTTATCCGCCTTCAGATCTTTCAACTACTAAGCCTAAATAATATGAAAACCAATGTACCATGATTTTAATGTACAGAATGGCACTTCGAGAAGAACGCCTTGCTGATGCCTCCATTAACATTTATAAAGAACGCGTTTACTCTTGAAAATGTATTTATTGTCTCAGTTTAATGTGCAATTCATGCTAGCATTGGGAAATCAACTTTAACTGAGAGGTTTGTGCAAAATTTTCACGAGATCCTTTGTTCCTTTTTGCCAGTTTTCTCTCCCTTTCAGAAATTATTAATTCTTATTGGAAAGGGTAAACCAGGTGTCCTTTATTACTGAACCCACATTGTCATTTTTCAAGACAGTGAGTGCAGGAAGGCTATTCAGTAGCAGGGAACAGTGCAGTTGGGTGAATAGCAATGGGAACAATGGGCTATTATGTCTCTTCAGTCCCCATTTGGTTTGCTGAGTGGTTCCTTTAGCAACTAGACTGCAACCAACTAAATCAGGACAGGTTAAGGTTTTGAGGTCATCCTTCCTCTGTATAGCCGAGCTGGTCACTGCCCTAACTCTCAAAACTTTGACTGAGGGCAGCCATTTTATGAACAAAGCGAAGTCCAAACTGTTTCTAATGAGCCTTTTCCTTGCAGCCATGCGTACATAGGACAGAACTATAGCGTTCAGAAGAATGTTGGGAAGATTTCATTGGAACAGATTGACAGTGTAAGTATCTTCTCTGTTTCTGTTCCTCATATTTTTTCTGCCTCCAAGTTGTGTAGACAATAATGCTGTATGTTAGTGATGCATGAGAGAATGTCAAGTTCATTTAAAGCAATACGAGAAAATTTGACTGCATCATAAAATATACTTGTATTTTTATATTGGAATCACATACCAAAAGCACTGTTCCATTTGAAACAATATTTCCATTTTGATTGTATTTTGATTTGTTGCAGTTGGCTGTAAAATCCTATCCACCATGTATGCGTCAGTTACACAAAGCCATTCGGGATAACCATCACCTTCGACATGGTGGCCGCATGCAGTATGGACTTTTCCTTAAAGGGATCGGCCTCACCTTGGAGCAGGCCTTGCAGTTCTGGAAATCAGAATTTATCAGAGGAAAAGTGGATCCAGATAAGGTAATGACAGTACAGAGTTCAATAATAAATAACCTTTTTACAGGTTGAATTTTCATCAGGGCTCCCAAATCATCCTTGTACTGATGATTACGCAAAAACTGTTAGTCATTGCAATGACTTTATTTAACTTTTGAGGCTAATTTGATGCCTCTGCATATTACTGAGAAAAATATAAGATTCCTGTACTTACTGCCCCTGGAATTAAGGGTTAAAATCAACCATAGTATTTTGAGATTTCAACCTGTCATTGTAACAACAATTGCCCACCAAGTCTCTACCATGTCCCCCACAAAAGAGTAAGGTTGATGCATTGATGTAGGTTACCGCTCTTCCACAGTGGTAACAAGATCTGGATTTGATGTTGTCGCTTCGTACATGAAGTAAAATCAGAAATAGATATTCCAAGCTGTGGCAATGACCGGCAGATTGCCACTCTGTTCGTATATTTTTCTGCCAGGCTGACCTCAGTATTCCTAGCCAGCAATCTTGTTCCAGCTTCTGCAGAAATGTGAAACAAGACTGAAGTCAAATGGGCTCCCTCTTAGCACAGGATAGTTGGAGGAAGCCAAACAGTATCCCATTTTGAGGCATTCAGATTGCTGTGGTCTGATAGTTAAATATCCAGCAGCATAACCATTCACAGGCAGCTGTTCTAGAAGGCTAAGCTTTTAAAGCAAGTGTGGAGTCAGGGTAGCAGCTGGTTAACATAGAAACATAAAATAGAGGAGCAGGAGTAGGCTATTTTGCCCTTTTGAACCTGCTCCACCATTTGCTGATCATTCAACTTGGTACCCTGTTCCTGCTTTTTCCTATGCCCTTTGATCCCTTCAGTCCTAAAAGCTAGATATACATCTTCCTTGAAAGTCTTCAAAGTTTTGCCCTCAAGAGTTTTCTGTGGCAGAGAAATCCACAGGCTCACCATTCTCTGGATGAAGAAATTCCTCTTCATCTTGGTCCTACATAGCCTATTCTACATCCTTATTCCTAGTTCTGGACTGCCTGGTCATCAAGAATATCATCCTGCATCTACCCTGTCTAACCCTTTTGGAATTTTAAAAATTTGTATGAGATTCCCTTAGAGCCTGAACTCGTGCAAGACCCTGAACCATTGTCACTTGACACCTACCAGAGATGTTGAATGTGCTGTCTGATGATTTCCTTTGCTGTGTGTTGAATTGTATTATGATACTTGTGATTCTCTGAATTGCCTCATGAAGTAACCCACTGCTGCCTTCTTTTTCTTTGACAAGATCATGCTGATTCCACACTTCTTCTTTCTCACTCCCATCACCTTTAATGCAACCATGTAGTCTTCTGGAAACAGAGAGAACAAGAAAAGGAACCCAAGAGCCCCACAGAATTCCTATCCAACTCCCTAGGAATCAAAACTGGTCATTGAGATCACCTGGACTGAGGGCTGCGTTTTAAATGCCAGCACTGATATGTTTTAAGTGGTAGGAAGTTAAGGGGGCATGTAAAAAGTGCTAATCATCACCACTGCCCCCCGTCTCCCGCCTAGCCCGCTCCTGGCTATTAATTTGGAGCAGGGGAGTTTAGAATTGAGTTGGTATTGAATCAGTGATGTGGTCATCATACTTAAATGGATAATTAAGACCATAAGAAATAGGAGCAGAATTAGGCCATTCGGCCCATCAAGTCTACTCTGCCGTTCAAACATGGCTGGTATGTTTCCATTCTCCATTCTCCTGCCTTCTCCTTGCAATTCTCAATCCCCTTACTAATCAAGAACCTATCTATCTGCCTGAAATACACTCAGTGACTGAGTTCCACAGCCTTCTGCGGCAATGAGTTTCACAGATTAACCACCCTCTGGCTGTAGAAATTCCTCCTCATCTCAGTTCTAAAGGATCATTCCTTACTCTGAGGCTGTACCCTTGGGTTCAACTCTCATTTGCCAGTGGAAACATCATCTTCACATCCACTCTTTCCAGGCTTCTCAGTATTCTGTAAGTTTCAACCAGATTCTAACCCCCCCACCCCTCCCTAAATATCCTTCCAAACTCTACTGAGTACAGACCCAGTGTCCTCAACCACTCCTCAAATGACAAAAGCCCTTCATCCCAGGATCATTCTTGTAAACCTCTGCTGGACCCCTCCAATGCCAGCATATCCTTCCTTAAATACAGGGTCTAGAACTGCTCTCAATATTCTAAATGTGATCTGACCAGAGACTTATACAGCCTCAGCAATACATCTCTGCTCTTGTATTCTAGCCCTCTTGAAATGAATGTTAACATTGCATTTTACCTTTCTAACTACAAACCGTATCTGCATCTTAACCTTAAGAGAATCCTGAACTAGGACTCCGAAGTCCCTTGTGCTTCAGATTTCCGAAGCCATTTTCCCATTTAGAAAATAGTCTATGTCTCTTCTTCCTTTCAAGTTGCATGACCTCACAATTTCCCACATTGTATTTCATCTGCCACTTCTTTGCCCATGTCCAAGTCCTTCAGCAGCCGCCTCGCTTCCTCACCACTATCTGCCCCTCCACCTAGCTTTGTGTCACCTGAAAACTTAGCAACAATCTAGATCATTGATGTATAACGTGAATAGCTGTGGTCCCAACACTGACCCCAGCGGAACTCCACTTGGTTAGTGGCCATCCTGAAAAAGACCACTTGTCGTCAATCTGTGCCTTCTGCCAGTCAACCAGTCTTCTATTCATGCCAGTACTTTGCCCCTAACATCATGGCCTCTTAACTTATTTTGTAACTTCCTGTGCGGCACCTCATCAAAGGCCTTCTGGAAATCCAAATCGATCACTTCCACCGTGTCTACTTTGTCTAACTTGCTCATTACCTCCTCAAAGAATTCAACAGATCTGTCAGGCATGACCTCTCCTTGATGAAGCCACGCTGACTCAGACCTGTTTTACCTTGCATTTCCAAGTACATCACAATCTCATCCTTAACAATGGACTCTAACGTCTGTAAAATCAGGCTAACTGGTGTTTGGCTTCCTGTCTTCTACCTCCTTCCTTTCTTATGATTTCTTAAAGGTTATCACCAATGTCTCTGTAATCTCCTCAGTTATTTTCTTCAGAACTCTGGGGTGTTGGTCCATCTGGTCTGGGTGATTTATCCTCCTGCAGATCTTACTGCTTCTCCAGCACCTTCTCCTTAGTGATGACCATTACACTCTGCCCCCAACTCTGTTGAAGTTCTGTTATGCTGCTGATATCTTAGACTGTGAAAATTAACGCACTAAGTATCTATTCAGTTCCCTTGCCATTTCTTTGTTCCCCATCACTACTTCTGCAGCTGTTTTCCAATGGCCCAATGTCCACCTTTGCTTCCTTCTTTTTATATATCCAAAAAACCCACTTGCAATCTTTTATATTACAGGCTAGCTTACCGTCATATTTCATCCCTCCTCCTCCTCCTTCTCCTCCACCCCCAACTCCCCCCACCCCCCAAAGTTCCAGTTTTACTTATCCTCTGCTGGTCTTTAAAGACTTCCCAAACCTCTGGCTTCACACTGATCTTCACCACTCAGCTTGTGAAAAGTTCGTTGACCCCAATAGTACCCTGTTCATGCCATAAAAGGGCGAGTGGCTATGTGTTTTCAAAAAAATATATAATTTTTGTAAGGGCAGAAATGAAGAGGAGATTGTTATTGTCATGGGTGTGCTTTTTGCACTCCCACCCATTTCAGCACGTATGCACATACACGCACACACACTTCCTCTTCAATTCATATCAATAGTTAGCATCCACCAAACCAGCCAGTAACATTCCAGACATTTATAACTCTGGGAGAAGAACAGCCACACAATATCCATTGTATTCATCTTACTTGAGTTTAAAGTTGTCACCAATCTGTTAAAGTAAAGTAATGTGTCAAAGGGGATGCTACCTAACCCTTTAATTATTTCAGGAAATTTTATCAGCATAACCTCTAAGTTAGCAATCATTTTGATACTCTCAGAGAGCAAATGAGTAAATATTGCACTTGTAGACCATAGGATTCATTGTTTCTAGGTTAAAAAATCTTAATTATAAATTGGAAAGACTGATGGAATGGTATGCTTAGATCTATGTTTAGAAAACCTGGGAAGCTACAATATATGGATTTAATAAAATCTGATTTTTGAGTGAAAAGGGATTGGAGTAAAGAAAATAGTCTACATAGCCAGCAAATTTCGTGCAGTAAGATAAATTTAAAACTTTTCTAAGAAATAGATTTTGTTTCATGAGTATAAGAAGAAAGCTGCAGAGTGTGGATGAGTTACCAATATAACTCCTGGAAATGAAGGACAGTGAAAGGAAAAATTTTTTTTAAAATAGAGAAGAAATCTATGGGAATCACCCAAGCGGAGTGCGGTATTGACAAAGTTGTAAAATTAAGGGTTGCTTTAATTTAGAAAAGGTAAAAATGATTAAGGTCATGGCTTTAATAATTAACTGTAGCAAGTGTCGATCTGTGCAGTTTTAGAAATAAAATGAGGAACTTTGTAAGCATTGTTGAATAGGAAGTAAATAAAAAAATCTGAAAATTTGGTGAAAATTTGTGTAGAAATTAGTGTAAAATGTTTTTGATATATTTTCAAAAGGCATTAGGCAATACAAGGTGGTACAGTAATTTATCACCAAGGGACTAACTTCAGTTGAGAGTGAAAGTAAAAAAATATTGGAAATTAATTTCTTTAGATAAAAACAATTAGCAGTAAGGGGGATAATTGCATGATCTTTGATCCTGAGTAATCAGAGAAGACAAAATATCTAGTGATAACAGTAGATAAGCTGTAGGTTCAGAACAATGATCTGTGGTTCGTCAAACAGCTAGGGATTGTGGCATGCCCAATTTACATAGCGAATTGCAAGTTGACTTGTTTCTAATCCTCCATTACCAGTGGTCTCAACTTGGAAATGTATCAGCAACAAAGAGCCCCACCCCATTTCTACTGTACCTCAGGGAAGTTAGTGAGCCATTGTTCTTACCCATACCTTTCGTGCCTCCAACCCTGACATTAACAACCA